CACCACACCACCACCCACCGCCGCCCCCTTCTCCTCCTCCTCCTCAGACGCTTCCCCCCCGCACCTCACAACCGGCTTCGCAACAAGCGCACGCCAGATTGGCTGCAGCTTTCCCTTCCTCCAATCAGCGCTCGCCTTACTCCATCCGCCTTTCACCTTAGCAACCTGCCGTTAGAGAGTGCCGCTTCCGCACTCCGCGGTCTCCATTGGCCGGCGGGGGTGAGGGCGAGGTTCGAGTCCCATTGGTAGGCGCCCGTGTCAGTCACGCGGCCCGGGGGCGGGGACGGTAACGCAACGTGGGACGCCGCGCGCTGATTGGACGCTGCCCCCACGCGTCGCCGCGGGAGTTTCAATGGCCGCAGGGGCGTCGGTGCGCGCGGGGGTGGCGGGGGTCCCTTACGGGCACGTGGTCGGCAGCGAGAAGTGGAGGGGCTCGCGGCTGGCGCGGGGGCTGCAAGGTCCGGCCGCGGTGGCAGTGGGCAGCTGGGCCCTCGGGAGGGGGGTTGATCTGGGGCTCTGGCTGCCAGAGCCGCCGGGTTCAATAGCAGCCTTCAGCTCCCTAAAGCGGGGCTACAGAGGGGATGGAGCTGGACTGTTCTCAGTGATGACATAATAAGGAGCAATGGTCCCAGGTTGCAGCAAGGGAAGTTTAGGCTAGATATTAGGAAGAATTTTCTCACTAGGAGGGTAGTAAAGCACTGGAGCAGGTACCCAGAGAGGTCGTAGACTCTCCATCCTTGGTTTTCAAGACTCGGCTAGACAAAGCCTTGGCTGGGATGATCTAGTTGGGGCTGGTCCTGCTTTGAGCAGGCAGTTAGACTAGGTGTGGCCTCCTGAGGTCCCTTCCCACCCTCGTTTTCTACAATTCTGTGTGTGCCTTGCAGGGCCGGTGCGGCTGATCCTGGAGGAGGACCTGGCTCTGGTAGATTTCCACCTGCCCCATGGTACCTGCATTCTGTATGTGTCTGAAGCCGATGTGGTGGCGGGAAATGGCTTCCGAAGACGCCTGGCCCAGTTCAGGAGTGTGAGTGCCCACCCACCCTTTTGGGAGGGGCAACAACACTGGTCCTGTCTGTCATCCTGCCCTTCCCTGCTGCTCTGGGCCCCAAGTTGTCTAGCCTGAAGCTCTTCCTGAGGAGCCCCAAGCTCTGGTGACGATTTGTGTGTGTCTGCAAAGGCAGCACTTGTTTCCCAGCCTGGTGTGAGGCTGCGCTTGACACCCTCCGCCCCTGTAGTGCAGACTCCACTGCAAGCTGCTTGTTTCTCATCTGAGATGTGCCAGCGCTGCCCACAAAACACTCCCAGGCCTGGGGCAAGTTCCTGAGTAGGGCTCCCCTCCCCTCCCCTGCTTTGCCCTACCTCCTCATGCTCATGGTGCTGTTTGGCAGCTGCTGAGCTTGGCATTGTGGCCAGTTTGGGTTGTGTAGCGAGTGAAGCGAGGGGAACAGAGCTGGGTCGTGGCTCTGGCAGGGAAAATAGGAAGCTTCATGGAAAAGCCGTTTGTGACCCATTTGCTGCTGCTGCTTTCCTCCGTTTGAAGGCCAGCAATCTGAATGGGATCGTGATGGTGGAGAGGACCACAACAAGCGATCAGTACTTCCCAGCCATGCAGAACTTTGTCGTACTGGAGCTTGGCATGACATTGCTCCCCGTGGCCAACCAGGAGGAAGCCTCGCAGCTTATTATCCAGCTAGTAAGTGCTGCTTCCTGCACTACTGGAGAAACACCAGTCAGATTAAAAATGTACCATTGCTGTCTCTAGACTGAGCAGTATGCTGTCCCTACACATCCGCTTCCTCCACGCTTTCATTGCTGGTTGGTGTATTGAATGTGGCGTGGAGGTATCATAGCACTCTCCTGCCAGCATAGGAGCAAGGTGCCAAACTTGAGACCATCACTCGGGTTCCTTCATGTGGCCTTGAAGATTCATAGATTGTACAGTTGGAAGGGACCACAATGGATCATCGTGTCCGACCCCCTGCCCCTGGCAGGAAAGAGGACCGAGGTCAGATGACCCCAGCCAGGTGACTATCCAGCCTCTTGAAGCTCTCCAAGCTAAGTGATAGCACCACCTCTCTTGGAAACCCATTCCAGATCCTGTCCACCCTTACTGTGAAAAATTTCTTCCTAAATCCACTCTATTAGTTTACACCCGTTATTCCTAGTCACTCCTTGGGGTGCCTTAGTAAACAGCGCGTCCCCTATTCCCTGTTGACCTCCCCTAATAAATTTATAGGCGGCCACAAGATCTCCCCTCAGCTGTCTCTTGTGAAGGCTGAAGAGATTCAGCTCTCTCAACCTCCCTGTGTAGGGTCTATCATGAAGCCCACTAATCATGCGAGTGGCCCTCCTCTGGACCCTCTCCAGATTCTCCGCATCCCTCTTGAAGTGTGGCACCCAAAACGACACAGTACTCCAGCTGCGGCCTGACCAGTGCCGCATAGAGGGGGAGCATCACCTCCTTTGATCTATTAGTCATGCACCTGCTAATGCATGACAAGGTGTGATTGGCCTTGTTGATGGCCTCGTTACACTACCAGCTCATGTTCATCTTGGAGTCAGTTATGACTCCAAGCTTCCTCTCTGCCTCCAAGCTGCTGATTAGTGCTGTTGAAATGTGCCAGAAGGTTTCTTTGAAGTCTGATCCATTCACTCTAGGAGCTTTGAGTCCTCAAAAAGTAGGAAACTTTGAAGGAGACCCCCTTTAAGATCTGGTACTGTCATTCTATTTCCATCTGCTTTATTCTTTCATCTGTTTTCTGATGCTGAGGGAAACAGCAGATGGTGGGACTAGGAGGCTAATTCAGGAGGCCTGTTGGAAAACATTTTTATGAGGCTTGGCTGGTCTGTCTAAAGCAGCAGTCCATGCTTGCCACGATGAGTGCTTGATCAGTTTGTTTAATTGCTTTCCCCTCAGCAAAGTGAGGAAGTGCAGTCAATAAAGGACAGGAGAGACCAGTCTCAGCTGGAGAAACTTTGAGCAGAGCCTAATGAATGATAGCCTCAATAGAGAAGATGCAGTTTTGGGGACTGATAGAGCATGCGTCTCCATAGTCTAGTGGTCAGGAGACTCCCCTGGTACAAGGAGACCTGCTCTGTTATCTGCTCTAGTGAATATTTAAGAATTCCTTGTGAAGTTGAACATCTCAGTGGGAAAGACTGACCAGCCCCCTCCTAGAGGGTTGGAGCTCAGGTGGCCAGGGCACTTACTGGGAGGAGGACAGGAAGGATTTCCTTGGGAACAGGAAGGATTTGAACCTGACTCTTCTAGCTGAGGGCTATAATCAGGGATCCTGGTTTTCTCCGATACAAAAAAAAATCCCCAATTTTCAGATTTTAAAAAGTTCCCTGGTTATAACCTGGGGAAGGGGAAGCATCAGCCCTTGCTCTTTCTCTCTAACTCCCTACAATCTGTTTGATAAAAGATATGGCCTTAGTTCTAGGAAGCAGTTTACAAGTTGTGCCTGATTTTTCAGGAAGGCTGGGAAACTCCCTCTTCAATTTGGATGAAATGATTTGATGAAAGCAAAATCTGTCCCTCACTAGAGGGAGCTCTACCTCTGCTTCTGTGTTTCAGGTCCATGAGCAAAGCAAAGATCGCACTAGTAACCCCTTTCTTCGTAAGCAGTGTTCCCAGCTCACCCACGCATCCATACTTCGGACGGTCCAGCAGATTCCAGGTGTTGGGAAAACAAAAGCTCTACTTCTCTTGCAGCGATTTGGAAGCATCCACCAGCTCTGCAATGCGTCTGTTCAAGAGCTTGAGCAAGTAGTGGGACAAACAGTAGCACAACAAATTTATGCTTTTTTCACACAGACAAATTAACATTTGCTTGCTGCTGTCACAGACAGATACAAGTGCTCTCTGTTTTGGACGGGGCTGTTATGCATTCAAAGTGGGATTGAATTTTTTTTTTAACTCTGTTTTTGTTTATTGCCATCTAGCGCACATGCTGTGGGGTCATTGTCACCCCTGATCTGCAGCTGGAGAGATGAGCAGGGATTTAGAGATTTTACTTGGTTCATGTTACCACTGGTCTAACCGCACTTATCTGGTCTTGATCTTATACTAGGGGGACAGGTAGACATCTTGCAGGGTAGAAAAATTTATGGAGTGCTAGGAAGTGTGGGATGTGCCCTTCCACGAACAGAAGGCTAAAAAAGTGATACTTTTATTTATCTTGGCAAGCAGTGTATTTTGGTCTATCTAGCTGTTTTGTTTGCTTGCTCCATAAGGATAAACTGTAGGATACTCATTTTGCATTTAATAACAATGGAGAAGATCAGTTATGCTCAGAGACCTATAAGTAATAAAGAATTGTTGTGCTGAAGAGAGTGATACCTGATCTTGACAAATTGTACTCCTTGTGGTGGTCAATGTTCTAAGGTTTAGCGATCCGTGAGCAATCCTGGCTGGGAGTGCACGGGTATCTGCATGCCCGTCCCCACTCCTGCAGCAGCCTGTGGCCAGGGTGGGGTGGGTGGTGAGTGGCTGGACACAAAGCTGGTGGCAGCGGCGGGGAGAGCGGTGGTGCCCCCTTGCTATGGCACAGGATGCCCCCGCCCCACCCCCAGTCGGTACGCCACTGTGCATAGCATTAAAAAGTTATTGTGTGGCTTGATTTTCTTTATTGTCTGCAACTGCGCATGTACGCAGCTTAGAGGGAACACTGGTGGTGGTAACCTTTTAGAGTGGCTTGAGGTAAGAGGAACAGAAAGCAGAAAATGGGGCACAGTAGCTAGGGTGAACATAGCTTGCTGGTCAGGGAGACCAAATGGTGTGTAAATCCCCTAATTGTAATAATTTTAATGTATTGTGAAACATATTAAATTATACTGTATCCTGCCCCAAAAGAAGAACAACAGTATTACAAATTCTTAGGGTATGTATTTCAAAAGAGAAGTTCAAGTGCCTTAAAACTACCAAAATCGAAGTCGCTGTAGGAATTATCTGTACAGCAGTAGTGATGAAATATAAAACTAACCTATTTTTTATGGGGCTTTAAGTTGAACAGTAGGAACAAAAGTAGTTTTACCTGTTCAGCAGCTTGGTAGTTTATTACATCATGCTTCATTTCCTTTCCAGAATTATCCTGGAATGCTTTGGAAAGGAAGTGTTTTGTATTGTTTATGGTTTCACATAACATGGGTTTACAGAACCTGGATCATTGTGGGGGTTTTTTGTGCCAAGACCAATGCCGTGTTCCCCAGCTCACACTAGCAGAGGAGATCAATTTAAAGGGGAAAAGAGCATGGGAAGGAAGTAACCTGACACAGGAAGAGTCCGGATACTGAAATCTAGTTAAGCAATATAAATAGATGTTCCTAGGACCAAGAACTTGCTTTACCCGGTGCTGCACAAATAGAACAAAAAGACAGTTAATCCTATGTGTAGCATTACTTGCCAAGGAATCTAAAGAGTAATCATATAAAAGCCAGGATTTTTCCTCCTTGGTAGCTATAAGTACACAGATCCTGTTTCACCTCTCCCCCCCAAAAAATGTAATGGATTCTCTGGGACGTGTGGTCTTAAATAAGCCATCGTGTCTCCTTGTCTTCATAAGGGATTATTATGGTTCAGTACCTGACAAAGTGACCCATTTCACTAAATGCTCGCCCTCCTTGGGATTTTATTAAGCTTGCCTGAAGATTGCTATCATTTGCCTGAGGGAATCATTTCTTCTAAGCACTGACATAAAATTAAAGGAGTTAAACACTTCCAGTTTCTGACAATGTGCTGGCAATTTCTTGTTCAATCCAGTCAGACTGACCTACAACTGGAGCTGGAAACACAGAGAGCATCTTACTTTAGTTCTTCCTAATTTATAAGATAGGGAAACTTCCTGTTTTGTTTTAATGGAGGTTTCTAGGTGGTTGCAGACTTGTTTGGTCAAAAATATCCATTGCCAGTTTGTAGTGTTTTAGATCTTGGGTAAGCTGTGAATTAATTACGTTGCTTGGTTGGCTGGTGGGCAGTGCAGCTCACTTGAAATTTTTTGCTTATATCCACTTCAGATGTAACAACCTGTCCTTGCCTTTGTTAAGCTCATAAAAATTCAACACATTTATACTGAAACAAAGTACAAGCTGGTCTCAAAAACTGTAGCTCAAGTGTATTAACCAGTCCAGTGCCTGGAGGTGATTGCTATGGGTTTGCACCATTCTAGAAGGGGGACTGTTGTCCTTACCTGCAGGAGGCAGAAAGAAGTTTCTTGTGAAGATGTAGAATCTGTTGCTGTTAGTGGAAATGTGCTGCTTGCCCTCATTGGGCAGGTTAAACTGTGTTCCATAACTTTTATTTCCTTGGCTTTAAGGTGAAGACAGAAAGCCATGAACTTTTAACTCCTTTTAGATTAAGTTTCACTCGTGGAATATTATATTGATATATGAGAAAACATGCATACATAGTTTTTTTCTATATGCAAACAGAGGTCTAATACCTCCTGCACTAGAATCCAATACCCTAAGTATAGGAGGGGGACAGTATTATGGAAGATGGTGAAACTGCTTGGAAAGGGATAGTTTGACTTCCTAGTGCAAATTCGATATTCATGTATTTAAGACTGTTGAGATGATCGGAAACTATGCATGTTAGGGCCTTGTATATCTCTGTTAGGCCATTCATAGTGCCAAAGCTCTTCTTACTGCCCTTGAACCTATATTCACTACACAGCTAAGATGTGCCACCAAAAGGGGAAATTGAAGTTGCAGTATTGAAATTACTCCCCTTTTTATTCTCTGACTCATCAGTGGAGAAAAATTATATTAAATTTCCTTTCCACAGAACACAAGGTGGTCAGGTGCCCTCACAGGGTGCCTTTTCCTTCACCCTCGGAGTTTGTTCTAATCTTTTAAAATCTTGGCAGCCTGACTGGGGTTACCGGGCAGGTTAAGTGCTGATATGTTTGTGTTGCTCAGTGCCAACACCCAATGCTCTTATTTGTGGAATGTGAAACTGTAACTGTGAAAAAGCTGCCTGTGGTTTTGCCTTCAATTTAGTGTTGCACTTGTGCTGAAGTCTTGAAAGACCCTGAAAATGGTCCTCTCCATTGCAAACTGGAAAACATAGAAAAAAAGATTCAGCAAAGCTATTTTTCTGAGCATGTTTCAAGGTGCAAAAAGTAAGAAATGCTTCTCTCTGTGGCTCTGATCTGAAATAAATACTGCCACTGAATACCATTTCTGACCATACTGTTGGTGGAGCATCCTCCATCCCAAAAGCCTCCATTGTGACACTAGTAGCAGGAGAATCTATTTTGGGTGAGCTGGGCTTGCTTTTTTTGTTACTTGGCTTGTTTCATTGGCTTCCTTTACTACTCCAAACCCCTCGGCAGAAATTAACAACATGGAACAGAAGCATCTCTAGAAATGTTGCTGCCGGGGGGGAGGTAAGGAGGGTGCATCAAGCATTGAAGAGTCTTACCTCCCCGTGCATGGACTGCTGTTGCCATGGTAATGGCGCCCCCTCTCTATTAGTGCCCAGGGCTGGCGTCTTGCTTGCCCACCCCTCGTTATGTTACATAGAGAATTGCTCTGCAATAGTATGGATTGTGATGTCTTTTCATCCTCCCCGCAAGTGTGCATGTATTATCAGAGCTTCAGCAGATGTATAAGTGGATGGGTATTGCTGCACAAATCCTGGGAGCTCTCTTGATTTTTCTCTGAAGCAGAGTATGCAGTCCCTTATACCTTGTCATTTGTTTCCCTGTAGATGAACTCAAGCTGTATGTCTTGCCTTATGTCAGAAGTGGGCAAAATACTGCCCGTAGGCTGAATATGGCCTACCAGGTGTCTGAATTCGAACTGTGGCTGTCCCTGCAGCACTCCACATGGGGCTATGCCCTGCACATTCGCACTGAGGCAGCATACGCTGGACTTCTCCTGGTGCCTGTTGGTCTAGGCCCCAGCCAGCACACAGCTGCCGGGGCTGTTCCTGGTGCAGCTGCAGCTGGGTGCTGCTTCATGCTTTTGCCTCCAGCGGTGGCTCTAATTTTGATCTTGCCCCCGCTGCGCTGTGCTGCACTGCACCAGGCAAGTATTTTTCAGCTAGGTGGTGCCTAGATAGCCTACCCCAGCGCACAAGGTTCTGGCTTCAGCTCCCAGCTGAAGGATCTGGAGCTATAGCCCCACGTACCTGCTGGGAATGGTGTGGCTGGAGCAAGAAGAGGAGCTGCTGCTGGAAGTAGGGGGTGTAGAGCAACACATGGACTGGAAACAGCCCACCAGAAGCTGCTGCTGCTGCTGCTCCTGCCCCTGCTGTGCCATGCCATGCCATGCCATACCATTCCAGGCAAGTAGATGAGCAGCTTCAGCCGGGTGGCTCCTGCCACAGTGTTGGGGCTCTGGCTTCAGCTCCTGGCCACTTTCCCTGGAGCTGGAGCCCCATGTGCTGGGGCAGGAGCAGGAGCCGCTTCCAGCAGGCTATTCCCAGTGTGGCTGCATCCAGCTGGGTGCTGCTCCGTACCACCTGCCTCCAGCAGCAACTCCTCCTCTCACTTCTGTTGCACCAGTACCAGCAGGCACACTGGGCTCCCACTCCAGATCCTAGAACTGGAGGCAGGGGGGGCAGAGCAGCACCCGACTGGGTTGTAGTCACTTGTAGGAGTATAGTGCAGGAGGGCCCCAGCAGGAGCAGGCAGGGCTAAGCCCCATGTGAAGTACCACGGAGAAGCACAGACTGCACTGCCTGGGGCAGCTCCCCTCCTCCCCTCACTCACAGCAGGCTCCCAGGACCTAGCATCCAAGCAGCCCCCTCCCCACACACACACACTCCACTCCTGGACACTGTTCCTGCCCACCCACTACCCCATAGGGAGTTTTGGTGAGTTGTGGGGCAGGTGGGGACGGACAGCACTGATTTGCTGACCCACCTTGCAACAGCTGCCCAAAACTCCCTATGTGGCCCTTGGGCCCAAATAATTGCCCACCCTTGCCCTATGTATTAATTGCATCTGGTTTGTTTTATAAGCCTCCTTTGTGAACCAGTCTTGCAGCCCTTGGTCATGCCATTTGTCCTGGTTGCCTTAACAAGAGAACTAACATTTGGAAAAAAACAAGGACAAAGGCTGTATTGGACAGTGCTGCTTCATTGTTAAATTTCCATTCTAATTTCCATTGGTCCCTTTTCTAATCCACCTACTCCATAGCACAAGATGGCTGCTACCAGGGCAACGTTGTGCAAGCTTGTTTTGTTTAGATCAAGATGGAAATGATGCCTAGTCTAGCATCCACATAAATTGCATGGAAAAATGTTGCAGACTCATGCTTCAGTTCCCTCTCTTATACTGGCCTTTACCTACCTATGAAGAGAAACTTTTTTTCTGACTTGACCTGTTTGAT